AGTCTTTACCAACTGTGAGCTAAAAACATTTCTTCCCTTAACCTGTGAGTGTTCAGTATTTTGTCTCAGTAACCAGTGCGAATATTAATGAAGACACCCTCTCATCGACATCTATCAACTAGTGAGCATGTTCAGGAAACTTTCTTCCTGACATGATAGTAATCCTTTAGAACTTCATGTTCCTTTCCTAGTCTAAGGTCATAACTACATTTTCACATTTTTTAAAGTTAATTTTCCTATTATATTATATCCTCTGCTGATTGCTACAGCCTCGTATCTTTAGGAAATGTATCTTCCAGTAAAACCGAATCCTCATTATTTCCTCTGCAACAATTTTTTATAAAGTCCGGTCACTGCAATACAAAGCTGTGCTCATATTTCTCAGTCACTTTCCAATCAATTTCAAATATTTCACACAGCATTATGGGGTAATTTTCCATAATTATTTTATTGTAAAATTAGGGACATTAGAGATTCCAAACCCTATTAACTAGTGAATGCATGATATCTGTACTATTCAGCCTACCTTTCCCCAAATTCCCTGACTTAGATATCCAATTTCATCAGCCCAATGCATTCTTCTTCCGTAATGATGTATTTGTTAAACCGTCATATTAAATATTGTCATTTCCCCACCATAGTGTCATCTTTTATGCATTATTTTACCTTCTGCTATTACAAACGATGCTCATTATTTATTCTCCCCAGATACTCACAAATTGTAATGTTTATAACTCATAATTAGTTTGAAGTATAGTGTACTCTTTACAAATGTGCTTGTTATTAACACTTGCCTCCTAAAAGATTATGGGAAGATTTTTGTTAATTACTCTATATTGTTAAAGTGTTCATTTTTATTTCTGAGAAAATGGAAATGTCAATAAAAAAACTGGAAGAGATATGGCATGAAGAGATATCATCATAGCTCTCTGTTAGTCAAAATAAATGGATTTTTGGCTGCTAAATTTTAGACATATGCTTGTCTCTTATAAACATTACTAGAATTCAAGATTTTAACTTCCAAAATTAAATAAAAGAAAGGTTCAATAAACTCACCTAAATATAGACTCACTTGAATGACTCATTTAATGAAGAATTTTTTGGTATGTTTAATGAATTCCAAAATGAACTGGCTTGATATTGAATTAATAGAAATGAACGTGATTAACAGAGTCCATGGAATATTTCACTGAGTATTTTCTTTGTTCCATTTTTTCCAACAAAAAAATCTCAGTCACGATAGACACAAGATTCCACCTAAGACCTATCTCCTGGAGCCAAACTGTGTTATAAATAATGTCAACAGACCCTGGGGACTTGGAAACTCAAGACTGTCTTTAAAGTGCTGCCTGGGAGGATGAAGTTTGAGCAATTAGATGGAAAGCAGCCCCGTGTGGCATCTTGGTTGGTTGTGTGTTATTTTTCTAAAGCCTTGGAGCATTTGTATGACATTCCACCTAAGACCTATCTCCTGGAGCCAAACTGTGTTATAAATAATGTCAACAGACCCTGGGGACTTGGAAACTCAAGACTGTCTTTAAAGTGCTGCCTGGGAGGATGAAGTTTGAGCAATTAGATGGAAAGCAGCCCCGTGTGGCATCTTGGTTGGTTGTGTGTTATTTTTCTAAAGCCTTGGAGCATTTGTATGACCAGCTTTTTACTCAGATTTTCAGATGTCTATTCATTACTGCATCAGGAAAAATAGAGTCATATTTTTGTATTAAAATTCTTATGGAAAATGCCAGTTTATTAAACCAATGTTATGTTTATTGACCTTAATAACTCTACCCATTATACCTTTAAAATACATATAAGGAATAACAATGTCATAATGTCAGATTAGCTTTTTTATAACTAGTACAAAGGCAAAACTCCATTTGCAAATATTGGGCTCCAACATGTATGCAGCCAAATAATCTTCCACAAGGACTATAAGAATCTGAGGGAACAAAATTTTCAAAAAATAATGTTGCAAAATTAGAAATGCATTATTTGTAAAATTACTGGTGAAACACACAGTGGTACACACACATACACATGTATACCCAGGGGAATATTATTCAGCTTTAAAAAAAGAAATAAATCTTGTCATATGTGAGATCCTGGATCAACCCGGGTGATACTATGCTTTTTTTAATTGAGTTTATTGGTACATTTTAGGTATACAGTACAGTTACATTCATCATTGGGATCTTGTAGCTTTACATGACAGGTCTTGGTTCTCATTTTTCCCCTTGTCCCTGCCCTCCCTTCACCTCTCCTCCCCTCCACATTCACAAACACTTTATTTCCAATTTTTTGATTTTCTCCCATTGTTTTTCTTTTCCCTTATTACATTTCCCATACCCTTCCAACTTTCCCTACACCTTTAGCCCCTTTCTTCCTATTTCACATTGTCAATTATCTCATTAGGATCTTATGTACTATTATAGTTTTTCACACCAGAGAAACTATTCAGTTTTTACATGTGTGTGACTTAAGTATTTCACTTAGGAGTATATCCTCAATATGTATCCATTTTCCTATGAATGAATCTAATTTCTCATTCTTTATGGCTGAGTAGTATTCCATTTCATAGAAAAAACCACAGCTTCTAAAAAAAATCAAAGAGATACTATGTTTAATTAAATAATGCAGTTATAGAAGGACAACTACGTAATGATTCCAGTATATGAAATCTGAAATACCTAATACAATTTTCTAATTAGGCAAGATGCAAGAGCTCTACAGAATCGATTATATAATATTGTGTATAACCTATTTACAGGTAATATGCATTTTACACTTAAATTTTTCTTGACGGTGCTTCTCAACTTAAGAGTTCTTAGCATAATCTTTTTAAAAACAAGTATGAAAAATACTTAATATCAATATTTTCAAGTGCTAAATAGATATATGTAGATAAGATTTCATGAGGTAAGAAAATTTGAACAAAGTGTTTTGTTGTACTTGGAAAATACCAACATGAAATTTTAAAAGAATGAAATAGAATACTAAAAAGAGAAATCAATAAATCTTAATGATCTAATAGCTTTAAATCAAGCAAGAATAAAAAACACAATAGCTTTTAATAAACTCTAAGTAAAATGTTGTGCATCTTTAGTATGAAGTTAGACCACAAAAGACAATATCAGCAATAGCTCTAACCACACAAGTCAAACCACAGGCTAGTTTATATAATGTGTATATTATATTCTACCTTAAAAGATTTCATCTTATTCCAAATCACAATGCCTAATACCCATGCTGGTAGGTTTTCTTTTGCAAAGCATAAATAAAATAATGTACCACAGTTATTATTCTGTGCCAATTTGAACTTTTAATAATTAAGTAATTTTATACAAATCTGTCTTCTTTGAGTTGCATTTCTACGTATTTTATTCTGAAATATTGTCTAAAGGTGTTTTCAGATTGTTCGTCATTTGTTATACTTTAGACCTACAATGATGCCCCAAATTCTGATGTACGTGGCAGTTGAAGTGATGATAGGACACCTTGCTCAGCAGGGAGTTAATCCACCCAGGAGTGCAGAGCTGACTGCCATGTTAGAAAGGGAGTCTGTGCAGAATGGGTGGGGCATCGAGACTGTGACCGGAAAGAGTGTAAATTAATAGGCTCACAGCTTAGGAGAAGCCAGGAATACAGAATTGTCCAGCCTGTGGCCTGAGGGTCGGATTGCCTAGTTATAGGCTACAGTTGGAGTGAAATCACCCTACATGGAAATTTAAGGGGACTTTGCATTCTCTATGTCGTATCAGGCATGGGCAGCTAGTGACCTCAGGAGGGATAGGCATTTAGTGGACACATTCAAGGGAACATCAGTTTGCAGAAATCTGTCAAAGTAGGACAATTGCATTTATCTGAAATGCAGAATGATATTTTCTTTTTAACCCAAAATGACCTTCACTCTAGGTATATAACATGGAACCTTAGGTTTCTTTTGCCTCCGTGTCTATGCTTTTTGCTATGAAACTTTTCAGTTCTACAAGAGACTGGCATGCGTTCTGAACTGATCACTCCTGGCTCGGCTGCATGCTGTGTGTTGGCCAATAGAATGTGAACCGTGACACGGAAGAGGGCTGGCTAAAACTTTGTACCGCCTGTGATTCAGGCCGTGCTATTGGAAGAAAATTTTATCTGACTTTACTGACTCAAAGAAGACACAGACAGAGAGAAAGGCTGCCATCTTTCATGTACAAAATACCAGACAAACCCGCCCAGATCAGCCCAGGCAGGATGCTCAGACTGATTTTCCATGGGGCTGCCTAACCAACCAATCAGAAATAAAAACATATTTTCTAATGTTGTGTGTTTCTAACATTTCATAATATTTTGTTATGCATCAATATATCAAATAACACAATTGGAAAAAATTTAAAAATAACACAATCCACCATTGGAATAGATGACTTAGATTTAGAAATATCTGTATTTTTAATTTTTGTTTCTGATGTCTTGTATACAATACTAAATACATTTTATTTTAAACATTACTTATAAAATAATATATGGATTTCATGGAACAGACAATGCTTTATGTACTTAGAGTAAACCAATGCTCCCTAGGCAAGAAAAATGGATATTTCTTTTGAATTTTCTGTCTTAGTTCTGACCAGTTGTCAGGTCACTCTATGGCATTTGATGTTTCTCCATCATAAGGTATAAGAACAGAATATCATCCCATTCTGCTATGGAAAAGTGAAGGAATGTTTATGTTAGCAGCCAAATGGAAATGTGTGCTAAATCTGCAATTTCACACAACAAATTCGGAATTTAGAAACAATTCAAATGATCACAGATGGAACTATCGTTTTTTTTTATTTAGAGCCGATGTACTAAAATTCAAATAAACCCAGTGTTGATTAATCAAATGACTAAGTTACATCAAGCAAGCACTTTTTACTTTTTGAAGAATGAAGTTTCAGATTGTTAGTAGTTCTCAAAATTTTGGACAAATTTGCACAATTTTCTTGAAAATGCAAAAGCAAATCTCGCAGACCTCATTGTATATGACATAATTTGGACTGGACTAGCTTCCTGACTGTCTCTTTCACGTCTTTGTTCCTGAGGCTGTAGATCAGGGGGTTCAACATGGGAATAACCACCGTGTAGAAGACAGAGGCCACTCTGATCATGAGCCACGAACCCTTGGTGGTAGGAGCACAGTAGAGGAACAGGATGGTGCCGTGGAAGATGCTGATGGCCGTCAGGTGGGAGGCGCAGGTGGAGAAGGTTTTACCACGACCCCCCGGGGAGCGCATCTTTATGATTGTGATAAAAATGAAAACATAGGAAGTCAGAATAATCGCCAGGCTGCTGATTTCATTGAATGTGGCAGAAAAGAAAATGATCTGCTGGTTGATGAAGGGGTCAGAGCAGGAGAGAGCAACAATAGCAGCATGCTCACAGACAAAGTTATTGATGATGTTATTTCCCCGGAAGTATAACTTCAATAAGAAGTAAGTAAGTGTCAGGGAGCAAGTCAGCCCCCAAGAGTATGATGCACCCACTAACGAGGAACACAGCTTCGGGGACATCACCACTGTGTAGAGGAGAGGGTTGCAAACTGCCACAAATCGGTCATAGGCCATCACTGCCAACACGAAGGTCTCCGTCACCACAAATACGCAGGCTAAGAAGAACTGCAGGATGCAGCCTGTGAAGGAGATGCTTCTGTCCTCCACTATCAGGTTTTCTAGCAGCTTGGGCGTCACTATGCTGGAATAACAGAAATCAACAAAGGACAGGTGGCTGAGGAAGAAGTACATGGGGGTGTGGAGTCTGGGATTGATCCGGATGACCAGGATCATGCCCAGGTTCCCCAGCACGGTGACAGTGTAGACGGCCAGGAATACCAGGAACAGGGGCAGCTGGAGGTCCGGATACTCGGAGAAGCCCAGGAGAATGAAGGTCACTCCGGAAGTCTGATTTTCTTGGGATCTGGAAGAAAAAAGGAAAGTATGTTCACAGAATCAAGTAGACACAGTGAAATCAGCCAGTGTGTGGAGACTTAGTGTTTACTTATAAAGCCTATCTCGGAGAAAGATTTCTATCTGTAATTCAAATGATCAGTCTTCTATATTTCCAGGAAACTGAATTCCTGGGAGGTCCCAGTCTAGATTTGCATCAATCTCAATTTACCGAAAATTATTTGCTTGTAGGAAATAGTTATCATGAATTCCAACAAGTTTCCCCTGCCTCACCTGTTTAACTCTGAGAACTTAGACTCCATATAAAAAACTTACACACAGGATAATAAAATTACTTCCATATTTTTTTTCATGACTACTTCTGGATTTCACTTTTCAATGAGCTTCACACATGGTCACACATTTCTTTCCACATGTACTCGATCTTTCCTACAGAATAATAATTCATAGCTACTGCAAAGTACAAATGATTCCGCCTGTTCTCAGTGCATTACAGTTTGTATATTCAAGATACTTTAAAATGTGGCAGACTTAATGGCAGCCTGTCCTGTGTTTCCTAAGTTGAAGTCTCTGTCACGTCGTCTTCAGGTGGTCATGTTTCTGTACTTCAAAACTTCCTAAACTGAGACATTGTTTCCTGAGCAATTACAATAGTTGTTTAGTTCTCTTTTTCTGCCCTGAATTTTTTTATAAACACACGTAGTCCTTCAAATGCTCTACTCTGCTAGTTTATTTCATTCATAATCTGATCTCCATTTATCTCGTTCTCTTAACCCTGGTACAGCCATTCAGTATGTTGTTATAAATATTTAGTAATCCTGAAAAATATCATTTTCATGTAACATCTGCCACATAATACAAACTTTACTTACTTTTTTTATCATTTACTGTGTTACCATTTTTCTGTGTAGCAGTAAACCAAAATTAACAAGGTCAAATATATAAAGTTAGGACACTGGCATCCAATTAGTGAATAAGTGATGTAAGTGAATGTGTGGTATGTAAGCGAATGCGTTCCAGACCTGGATTATATGTGTGTGGGAGAAATTCTAACACTGAAAGAGTTAAAATTGGCTGCTCAATCAGAGCTGCACTGTAAAATCAAAATACACTGAGACACATCCTGAGTCCTACAAATACGTAGCTGTTTTGAAATCCCATAGGTTATGATCATTCTAAATTGGTGTAAAGTAGGAACAGTTACCAAAAAAAGAGTGTACTGGAGTATTTTTATCTAACCCATGCATGTCCACAATGTGTCTTTGCACTGTGCCTTGCAGTTATTCTCAGAACCACGTCACGATGGCTTAATGAACCCCAAAGAGGCACTGGGATTAAGGGGCACCATCCCTGAGTTCACTTTGAGGATTATATGGCTGTGAATTTTATGTATTTGAAAGTGTTCACTGGGTTATTATGAGATTTCATCCAAAGTAACATATATTACTTACTTTTTTCCTGCACAGAAAGGTATCAATCACATGTTCCTGCAGTTTTTCTTCTTTAACTACTTCTTTAGGTTCCTTCAATTTGATAATCGCAATTTGGTCTCCTACAACACCTATTATTTCTCTGCTGTGTTTTTTAAAAGTACAACACAAAATGTCCTGAGTCTAAATTCCATAAATAACATACTCTTTTACTGTTTTAAACTTTTTCCAAAGCTCTGTATTTTAAACTATTTCCAAAGCTCTGTATTACCTAACACATTTTGAGAAGCCCAAGGTTGAACAGAAATCATTGCTGCTATCAAAGGCAAATACATTTTCAGCTATTTCTTGCCCTCACACTTTTTTCTACATGTGTAGCTTTTCATCTACCTGCTACCTATTGTGTTTATGTTTACGGGACTTGGACTACTGTTTCCAGTCTCCCGCTTACCCAAGGAAGGGTCACCCATGGTCAGCCCATTGGTGGCCCATGGTACTATATATGCCTGCCTTTCTTCCTTCCTTCCTTCCTTCCTAGTGATGCCCACCCTAGCTTTCCCATTAGATGTCCTCTATGTACTCCCATGTCATATGCATTTTAGAAAACAAACACTTGTAAGACTATGCCTTGTTTTCTTTATTCTTCTGAGAGTTAATCTAAGAAACAATGTCTAAAATTGCAAACTCAGTATAACATGTAATTCTTATGATGCATTAAAACTAAAATCTGTGTGCATTTAAAGGAAAATACTGTGGGCCAGGGATTTAGCTCAGTGGTTCTGCCACCTGCCTCCCAAGTGTAGGGTCCTCAGTTCGATCCCTAGCACCAAAATAAATAAATAAAGGAGAATATTGTGATCAAGAAACAAGAAAATATTTCGGGGTAATGTAGGGCAGTTAATAATAAATCCATTAAAAGGTAATGAAATATTTTTACCTTGCCGAATTATGTGTTTATCATAGCAGTTTGATATATACATTGGGTTTGCTTCCTGCAATCACTATGAGGCCAGATTGTTTCACTTACAAAGAATTGATGACTCACCTCAGTGCAGGCTTCTTTGACACATTCATTTATTGAAGATTTTTTACAAGATGAGTGGATTCCAGAAAAACTCCTGCTGGGAATTCAATCTTTTGAAAAACCTTTAAAAGCAAGTCTGAAGAAAAGTAGTAAGAACCTACTGGATTTTTCAATGAGTGTTTCAGTAAGATGACTGTTTCTCCTACCTTTTCAAAATAAACTATGATAACAGAGAGGTAGGGAGATCAACAAGCTGAATCCTAACTCTGAAGTGTGGCATACATGTAAGCATCCAAGACCTTGGGGAAATTAGCCCCAGAGAATGTAACTGTTGTGCTGCTCAGGATGCCACACGTTGAACAATTAGATGAAACAAAAATCCCCTGTGATATTTTAATTTTGCAGTAATTTCTGAGATTGGAGAACACTTTCATAGCCAACTTTAATTCCATGATCTTATTTTAAATGTACTTATCAGATTTAATATTGTTTTTAAATACTTAAAAAAATGGGCTGGGGTTTTAGCTCAGCAGTTCAGTGGCCTGCCTTGCAAGGGCAAGGACCTGAGTTTGATCCCCTGTACCAAAAAAAAAAAAAAAAG